CATGAATGAAGCAGTATCATCAAAAACTTTGCCTGCATGTTTTAGCTAAACATTCAGTGTTGATTAAATTTCAGGGAAATAAGAGTGTAATATACAACAAAATAAATAGATATATTGTGTTTAAACATCATACGATCTAGAGTGGAAGAATTTTGATGTTCCTTTGTTCTATGTGGTTTACCTCTTATCTCTCTTTGTCATTTCCTGTTTCTGTCCTGTGCTTTCTATCTACAAAAACCTGCTGTAGGCCAGTGTTACGTGGTGGGTCAGCTGCTACCACTTCCTCTAACCCTCATCATGACAACACCAGGTAAAGAGTATTTTTTGTTAGTCATGGTCCACTGATTTAGATTCTAAAATTCAAACTTCTGCTTCCCTTGTGTCTAGTGTCCTTATTTTAAAACACTGCTTATTTCTGTCTGCCCCCTCAACTTTAGATTCTTCAGGCCTTTATTCCTTACTCACCCAAAGTCACCTGCAAAGACCTCACTTGCCTATTAGATACAGTGAGCTGCAGAATTCTGACTCAGTGTGTCAGGGGAGGCTCTTAAATTACATCAGCAGTACACTGCCAGTATTTGCTATTTAGCAGTGAATTTCATATTGTTATTGCTAGAAAAATTGGTCTTGATGAATGAATTGGTCACCTTATTTTTTCCAGGTGTTCTCAGATGATATGCCTGTGATTGTTAGTTGGAGCTGGATGCCTTTTCATTGCCATTGTCTTGGTGGATTGACACTGTTTCAGTGAAACTGGATGCAAGATTGACACATAGTTCAGGATGAAGGGAAAAAAAAAAAAAAGAGTCCCACATCTATTGTTCCCATTTGTCACTGCTTCTGTGTCTTCATTGAAATGGAGATTGCTTTTGTGCTTAAGTAGACACTAGATTCAAGCAGGCGATTCTTCTCTAACTCAGGAATTAAGTTTTTGTAACAGTCCAAGAGATTATCTCGAGGGATTTCTTGCTGATAACCCTCCCAATGTAATACCTGGAATGGTTTGGAAGCTGCTAGAGCAGTAGTGATATATAGTGACTTTATATTAAATTTATATGACCTGGGAAGGAGGTGTGCCCATCTCACTGGAATGATGAACCTCTCTGTTTTTCCCAAGAGATGGTGAGGGACAACTGCAGCCTGGATATGGTGGAATTTTCTAATTTTTTTTACCATCTACTACAAATTAGAAAATGGCTGCAAAAAGACCCTCCTCAGACATCTCTTTGGCTTTCAGAGGAGCTGTAGTAGTAAGGAAAACCTCTATTTGTGTGTGTGTGTGTGTGTGTGCGCGCGCACGCAAAGCTGCAGGCTTTCTTTAACAGTAGGAATGTTCATAATAATTAACTTTAGTTTACTTTAAAATAACTTTGCTGAGTTAGCAATGTGAGCTCCACAACACTGAGGAAATGAAAAACCAAACCTCAGCAGTTTTGTTCTTTTTAATATTGCCCAAACTGAAAGAACTACAAGTAGTATAAGTAGCATAAATGAAGTGAATGTTTGAAGTCTTCTTAGAATGAAATTAATAATAGTCTTAATGAGGAAATATTTTTCTAACAAAAGGAGTTGCCAGAACTCTTTTTTCCTTTTTGTCCCATAGTGTGTTTTTTAAAACAGCCATGACTCTATAGACAGAGAATTAGTTATTTGACTTGTCCTTTACTTAAAAGCTGTCTCTAGCCTGATCCCACCTGGAGAAGTTTTCCCTCTCACTGTATACCCTTCAAAGTAAAAAAACACAGATCAAATCTCTTCACAGAGAGGGTAATCAGGCATTGGAACAGGCTTCCTAGGGCAGTGGTGGAGTCGCCATCCCTGGAAGTGGTAAAAAACTGTGTAGATGAGGCCCTTAATGACATGGTGTAGTGGTGGCCTTGGCAGTCCTGGGGTAACGGTTGGACTTGATCATCTCTTTAAGATGACCTTTTGTCTTTTCCAACCTAACTGATTCTATGATTCTAAAATTAACTTCCTATCTTTTATACAGTGTTGCTCAAGGTTCTTGTTGTCTAACTCCAGACAAATGCAGCTCTCATTTAGAAACAGCAATTGCTATTTAGAAACAATATATTAATGAACAGTGATATTAATGAACAAAGTTAATGATACAGGGAAACTTGACAGTTTGTCAGAAATCTTGCCTGAGCTGAGGGTGTTCCATAGAAGTTTGCTGAAAGTGATGAAAGAACATGCAGTGTAACAGTAGTATCTGCCCATAAGTGCTTTCTGCAAGCTTCAGGAATTCTACTTGTATTCATATTAGTTGAAGTTGACCAATAACTGTCATTAAATGCTAAAGATTCTTTTAGGTGTATTTTGTTGAGAATTTGGTAGCTGTGACATTATTTTATTCAGTTTAGGTGATCAAATACATACTTTATGCAGACCTTCTGCCACTCCCCAACCAATAATAAATGTGCTGTACTTAGTTAACTAACCCTGGGGTTAGAGTAATGCTTTCTCTGAATTGCTACATTAAGAAAACTGAGAGGTGCTCTAGGAACAAACTATGCAAAGTGGAGCAAGCAGTGGCTTGGCACTAGACTCTTTATTTGCAAAGTTCTGTGCCTAAAATACTGAGATTAATGTGACTGAGATCATTAACCTCACTAGGTGTCCACTTGGGATATTTAAGTAGGTACCGAGCATAAGACACCCAGTTCTCTCCAAGTCTTCATTTGGTTATTTCTAATCTGTTGCCAGGCTTCTTGCAATGTTGGCATTTTAGCTCAGACAATTTTTAGGCTTCATTAATCAGTTAAATGACTAGAAAGAGTCTTTTGAGAGACCACGTGACAGAAGAAGTCTGTCTGCATGGAGAACCTTCAAAAATATCTAAACATGGGGAGCGATATACCTAGATTCAGTCAAGAACTTGATTCATGTGTGTTTGTGCTTTATTCGGTTAGGATCCTATTGAAATAGACAATTCTGTAAAAGCTGGAAAAAAAGTTTTATCATTCTTCTGTCTGTCATCACCAAAAAATGCATCTACTACAATGCTGATAAAATCTGGTACTTTCTAATCTTTGTGTCTACTATCTCCCTTATTTAATAGATCTGGTCTTTCCAGCTTTGATACTATGCTTGAGGGAACACCAGATGACATGACAGTTGTAGATGCTGCTTCCTTAAGACGACAGGTATGTAAAGCACTAGTTGATAATAAAACGGGGAAACATGTTTTCTGTGTGGCTGCAAAGGTATCCATAATGGATACAATGAGGAATCCTCTCTGTAGCCCTGCTGGACTGCCCTCACATATCCTATATTGTTCTGGGAATCTTGAGAGCGCAGCTGTGTTTCTGTTCCTACTTATTAGGGACAGCAATATCTGATCACTGATTGAAGGCAGAAAGTCAAATTATCAAGTGTTTAAAAATCCTTCTGTCTGAGATACTAATTTTACATGACTATTCAGAAGCTTCTAGAAAGTCTGACAACTTTTAATGAACTATTAAAAACCTTTATTTATTTTTAGATAATCAAACTTAATCGCCGCCTACAACTTCTGGAAGAAGAAAACAAAGAGCGTGCTAAGAGGGAAATGATCATGTATTCAATAACTGTAGCTTTCTGTCTACTCAACAGCTGGCTTTTGTTTCGGCGCTAGAGACAGCTCGGAAAGATTTAGTTGTTGAAAATACAGAAAATTCACAAAATTCTTTGTTTCTGTTTCTGAACTGTATGTTGTTTTATAATTCATACACTAGAAACTTCCACCACAGATAAAGGCTATAGACTTGCAGTGTTAAAGGAACACCTTGTTGTTCAGTTATAATGTATTTAACAGATTTGCATTGCAAATACTTGCAGTATCCCTCTTTGCATGCTTCTGTGTAAATATGGATCATCTGATACAAAGCTTGCTTCATGCAGTGTAAGGACAGTGATTTACAGGAATAATCACTGGATTTTTTTTTTTTTTTGTGGTGGGAACAGAACAAATGGAATGGATTTGGAAAAAAAATATAAAAACAAAGGAGTAAAAAGTGTAGGCTTTATTGTTCTGTTGTTAGATGCAATTAAACATGATTGCACTAGTTTTCCTTTAGTCTGAGTAGTTTGAGGTGTGCCATATTCCAAGGGGTGTGTCGTTTCATGAGTGTGTTACTTGTTTAAGCACATGTTCAGGTCAGGTAATAAGAGGAATTTTTTGCTAACATGCAGATTGTCCAGAGGTGTGTAATATGTATTTTTTTTAGTGTTAACTTTGCAGATGTTTTTCTATAAAATACATTTTTAAGCAGGTCAGTGTGTGAGCGATCAAGATTATGGAGTACAAGATACTGATGTAGTATATTTAATAAAATTATCAAACCCCATCAAAACCATTGTTTGATATAATTTTAAGAAAAATTTGAGGGTTCGTCTAAACTATGAGTCTTTGACGTAAGTAGTAGCGATGGTCCGAACAACCCAACAGCAGCAGGTGCGCATACAGAAGTCAGCTGCAGGGCTGCCATCTCTTGCGTGTTGTGGCGCTGTTCCTGGTGTGTGTGGTGGGGACACAAGCAGCGGAAGCTAGCCAGGTGTCCCCATGTACTGCGGTCTGTTTAAACATCCCATGTTCTTGTTTCTCAAGAAAACGGCGCCCATCGGACTCTGCGTGGAAACTCTCCCCGCAGAAGGACCCCCGACACCGCTGGCCTCGGCCGCGCTGGGCGGGTGCCGCCAGCCTGCGCCCCGCTGCAACTGCAGGAGCTGCGGGCCCGTGCACGGCGACGCGGCTTTGCTCGAAGCTTCCCGGATGCTCTGTACCCGAGGGCTGGCGGGTCCCCGGCCCCGCATCACAGCCGCAGGTCCCCCACGCTGCCGCTGTCCCGCTGCTGCCTTCGGTGCCTCGCGGCGTTCGTTCGCTCCCACCGCGCAGCGCGGTCACATGACCCGTCGGGAGCTGTGCTCCGAGGGCTGCTTCCGCCGCCGCCGCTGCTGGCCCGCTCCGTGATGTCCCCTGCTAGGAACGCTTCTGCCCGGAACTAGCGGGGCGGGGCCGTGTTTCGCGGAGGAGACGGATCTCTGCGCTAGACGCAGCCGCCGTCATGGCCGCCCGGTTGCTCGTGCGGGCTTCGCGGCAGCTGCTGGCTGGGGTCGGGGCCGCAGTTGGGGCCGGGACCGGGACCGGGACCGGGCGGGTCACGTTCAAGACTGCGCCGCGCCAAGTAAAGAAGCGGTGGCTCCGCGCCTACCTGGAGCAGGAGCGGCTGAATGCGCCCCCCCAGCGGCGGTGAGACCGGCCCGGCCCGCAAGAGAGGGCGGGCGGCGGAGCGGGGCAGGGCGGGACACGGGGCCGGGGGAAGGGAGGGCAGCGGCCGGGAAACAGGCAAGATAGAACCATTTAAGCACCTTCTCGTCAGGCTCTGGAGCAGGGTGATTTAAGCTCCACAAGTCGGCTTGGTTCCCGGTTTGAACGTGGCAAGGGGCCCGTCCTGGCAGGCAAAGACAGATGCGAACGAATGGCGTTTGACACGAGAGGTTTAAGTACTGGTTTTAGTCTTCAGTCTTTAACTGTCTGAAAGCCCTGATGCTGGCAGTGCGGGTAACTTCTTGTTCTGTTCCTGAATTTGCTTCGTTTTCCACGTGTGTAGGTCAGAGAAGCCCAACTGGGATTACCACGCAGAGATACAAGCTTTTAGCCACCGGCTGCATGAAAATTTTTCCTTGGATCTTCTCAAGACTGCCTTTGTTAACTCCTGTTACATTGAAAGCGAAGAGGCAAGGCGCCAGGAGCTTGGGCTAGATAAGGAAACGATTGCTCTTAATCTCCAAGATAACAGTAAACTTGCTGAAGAAGGGATGTCTTTTTCACGTTCTTACCTGATGCAGTGCTTTGAAGGTGCCTACCCAGAGTTACCTGCAGAGGGGATAGGAGCACTTGTTGATTTTCTTACCAGTCAGGAACTTGTTTCTTATGTGGCTCAAAACCTGTCTATACAGGACCTGACGCTTTGCAAAGAGTTTCCTGCCCCCCCAGATGTGCTGCAGAGGACATTCTTTGCTGTAATAGGAGCCTTGCTTGGCAGCAGCGGGCCTGAGAAAACTGGGATCTTTGTCAGGGTGAGTCTGGTTTTAAACTCAAAATGGGTAGATTTACACACTGGCATAGGTTGCCCAGAGAAGCTGTGGCTGCCCCGTCTCTGGCAACGTTCAAGGCCAGGTTGGATGGGGTTTGGGGCAACCTGCTCTAGTTCAAGGTGCTCCTGCCCATGGCAGGGGATTGGAACTGGATGAGCTTTAAGGTCCCTTTCAACCCAGCCCGTTCTACAATTCTGTAATTTGTGCTGACAACAATAACATCAAAGGATATCAGAAATTACAGGGGATTAAAAAGGAAAAAAAAAAGAATAAATTTCTTGAACCTTGATGGCCAGAGATTAAGGGAGATTGCCAGAAGTTTGACCATACCTGTAACAAAACAACTGAACACTGAGATCTGTTGGGCGGTGGTGGTGGTTGGGTAGGGTTTTGGTTGGGGTTGTGTTTCTTTTTTTTTCCTGTTTTCTGTTGTTTGTTTTCATTTTTCTTTAAGAAGCACGGGCTGGTCACGTAGATAAAATCATATGCTTCTGATATGTAGAATAATAATATTCTTGTATTTGCTGACACTTGTGAGGGGAAGGCATTATATTCCATGCACTGTACTATCAAATATTGGAATTATTCCATATAGGATCACGTATCTCTTCAATTAAAAAAAAAATAAATAAAAACAAAACCCCAAAAGAACCAAAACAACCAAACAAAAAACCCCAAACAAAATAAGCAGGGGCTGCGTTCATATTGCATGGAGGAGTGCAAGCACCTAAAGATATTTCATACAAAAAGGTTCAATTAAAATGCAGTGCAACAAAATAGTTCTAGAAGCTACTGTCCTTTCAGTTGTCCTTTTTACTTACTTCTCATCTGCAATGGATAAATGTCTGTTAAAATCTTATTTCTGATACAAGACCCTTGAGAGGTCTCTGTAAGAGCAAGTAGTTTGTAACAGGCAGGAGAGCGATCCGAACAGGTGGGTTTGCAAGTTCCCTTCAACCTGTTTGCAGCACTCTTCTGATGTATAGCTTCTAGCCTGTAAGCAGCACTGAGTTGCTGGTGCTCAGAGCTGTGTGTAAGTGTTGTTGGAGCTCCTCTCTCATGCTGGTGCTGTTCCTTCTCTGCATGTGGGCGGTTGACTTTGCCCAAGGTGCACATCAGTGGCTAAATCAGACCCAGAGCTGCTGAGCATAGGAGCACTGGTTACCTGTGCTTAGCTGTGTGGAGCACTAAGGCAATTTCACCTTTCATGTCAGCAATTTATTGTCAACTGTATTAATGTTAATAAAAGTACAATCTTCATATTGTATTTTTATTAGGATACACCAGAAGCTAGAGCCTTTGTTACCTTTCACATTAATTGCAACTTCCAAATATTCTTGTTTAGGACTTTTTTATCCCACAACTTATTGGAAAAGACCTGTTTGAGATCTGGCAAGTTGTAAATCCTATGGGCTTACTAGTGGAAGAACTGACCAAGAGGAATATCTCTTCTCCAGAACCAAGAATTACCAGACAGTTGGGAGTCAGCACGGTTCTGCCGGTGTACTTTGTTGGGTTGTACTGGTTAGTACAATATTAATATAAAGTGAAATGGATTTAAGCTGGGGAGGAGGGAGGAGTGTCTTTTTCTTTTCTACTTGTGCTCTTTGGTCAAATTGTTACAGAAAAAAAATCTTAAAGTGACTTCCATATGAAATCAGGCATGAAAGCACTGGCCTTTATCATTACATGCTGTAATGATGCATAAACAGACAGTCTCTGACTAAAGGGCTTCAGAGTCTAAATTGGGCATACAAAAAGAGTCTGGGTATATGTTCTGAGTAACCTGCAGAGGAACTTTCGGAATGGCGTAACTGAATGGCTTTGGAGGTACCACAGCTGTATCCAGGGCTTGGGGAAGGGTAAAGAGACACAGACATCAAAAGAGGTGGGATTGAAGAGAGCCTTATTTTATATTCCAGATAAACTTTCTAGTTTTCAAATCATTGGCACTATAAACTAGGCAAGAGGAGTGTCTGTATCCAGACAAGACTTGGAAAAAGCCAGTCAGCTCTGGTGTGCTTGTGTCGGGCATTGTCAGTGCTTGTCCTTGTGTCTTGCCCAGGGGTGATTTTGTTCCTCTGAACCAGAGCAGGACCTTCTTCCACCAAAACCCACATCATTGTTGCTTTGCTTAATGAGCTGCAGATAAACGCATGTCTTAACTTGTTCTGATTTATTGTGCTTTGGTTTATGTGCCTTCTAAGATTTATTACATAAATGAAAGGAACTTTGATTGTTTTTCTTTGAAACCCATGTTATCTCTTCAGAAACTGTTCTTATTCAATGGCCATGAATGTTGATTAAATAGAGCTAAGTACCTACTTCATAACATAGGGAACTTCTCTGTGAATCCTTTTAAAGAAGTTTTAAAATGCTGTCCTACCAGGAGAGGAGAAAAGACAGCAGCATTTCACTTCTTTGTTTAAGTTAACCAGGGTCATGAGTTTGCATAATTTTAACAGGGCTAACAAATTGACAACTGTAAAGAAGCAGTGATTTGTTGGAAATCTGAAGGAACAGAGTAGTGTTCTTCCAGGAAATGGATGCATTTCTGATTTGAGTTTCCATTGTTGAATACACAGTCACTTATCTTTGCAGGAAAGACCAAAGGAAATGTTTACATTTGTGTGTAAATAGAAATTCCCTTCAGTATTCACAGACATTAGAGAAAGGAAAAATCTAGCAGCCCTTATTCGAGGTAGGCAGTAGTGCTCAGGATTTCATGAAGAAAATGTTTTTAATTCTATTTCTTTTCCCCCCAAGCGATAAGAAGATTATAGCTGAAGGTCCTGGTGAAACACTGCTTGCAGCAGAGGAAGAAGCTGCCCGCGTGGCTCTGCGGAAGCTCTATGGGTATACAGAGAACAGGAGGCCTTGGGATTACTCAAAACCCAAACAAGGACTGGCAGCTGAAAAGGCTATTAGCAGTAGCTAGATGATAACTGTTTCTCTTAAGAATTGATGGCTTCCGTGTTGAATATAGATGTATTTAGGAAAGGAAAATGCAGTTTGGCTTTCTGATTTCTGTGCTTGAAACTTTCAAATCAAATATGGTATTAAAATAAAGTCTTTTGCACAATGTTTAATATTTACTCATTTTCCTAAATATAAGTACTCTTATTCTTATTTTTTTGGCTTTTGGCTGAGAAGCTTTTCCATACATCATGGAGGACCAGTTTTAATGATGTTTAATATTGTGTGACAAAATCTCACTGCATAGAAAGAAAAGTTTCATAAATGCTTCCTTGGAGATTGTTTTGAGGGTATTAATTATAGAATTGCAGAATCACAGAATGGTTTGGAAGGAACCTTAAAGATCATCTAGTTCCAACCCTTCCTGCCCGGAGCAGGGACACCTTCCAATGGACCAGGTTGCTCAAAGTCTCATGACATATGCAGCAGCAGTCTTTGGATTGAATCTAAATTCATTTGTCCTTGACCTTGTGAAAATATCAAATATGACGTTGGTGATAAACTGACCTAATTTAAAAAAAGACAAGGAAGGTGCAAATGGCACTTTTGAGATCTTGCTGCTTGTACACAAGTTTTTTTTGAGGCACACGTGGATTTCTGTTGTTGGAGTTTGCTCTGAAAGAGTATTTTTCATTTTAAAAATTTTTAAAATTTCTCTTTTGTAAAACTAGCAGTAAGTGTAAATAAGGATTGTGAAGGCCTAAACCCAAAGTGGAGATCATGACTTAATGACAGGCTATAAGATAAGCTACAGCCTTCTTATTTCTTTTTCCTCTTTTTTCCCCCCTCTTTTTGGTACTTTTCCTGTTTAGTCCAAGTACTTCCATTTTCTCCTGTCATTTGGCCACTAAATTTAAGCAGTCAAGTAACTAAAGTACTGGATTCTGTGAAATTAGTGTGTCTTTTGTTTGCACCATCTGTTGCTGTTCTAATGTAACTCCAAGTAAGTGGAAAGTCACTTAGAAGTAACTTGGGTACTTGCATGGTGTTCCTGTTAAATGTCACAGACAACTCAGTGTATACCAGAAGACAACAGGTGCATGAGGACTGTGACTCTTGGAATAATTTCCTTTAAAATTGAGTGAGAGTCTACTTACACGCTGGGACTGAGCCTCCAAAGGAAGAAGCTCAGTGTAGGACAGTGGCTAAAGAAGCTTTTCCTGCCCTGTCCCATTGTGAGAACTGGTTGTGAAAAATAACAACAGGTAAATGTGCCTGCACTGACTGGGGATGGGAGAAACAAGGAGGTGCCCATTCAGACAGGTTTGATGTTGCTGTCCCTAACAACGTGCATCGCTTGTGTTGGTCCCCCAGGATGGGTTTATGTGGAAGACGCTTGGCAGTCAGAAGGTCCCAGGCTGCAGCTGCAGCTACTAAGCACATCTGTGGTACAGCACAAGTGGTGCATTCCCTGCTGCCGCTGGCCTGAGAATAACTTCTGACTCTGGTTTACTCAATGGAAACTGATGTATTAATGTATTCACTAATTCAGTGGTTGTCTGCAACTCATGTGTGTCTTTGGTATTTGGTGTGACCTGCATCTTAAGCATGTACAAAAAGCTTATGTGCTGGATAGCAGGGAAAACTTTTTTCTGCATTCTGGCATGGGTGACTCTCTGTGTGAAAGCTTGAATATAAAAAAAAAGATTGGAAGGATCAGTCTAGCATAAAACATGCATAAATTGCTTGTGTTAAGTGAAAAATTCCAGCTAGGTAATTTATTATCACTTATATAAGCAAAGCCAATAAGGTCACTATATACCAGGGGGAATAATAGCAAAACCTGAAAAGAGGTTAGAACTTACTCATGCTATTTTTAGTTTCTAGATGAGGTATTTCTCTTACCTTTACCTATTTTAAAAGGACAGTTGTGAAGGTGGATGTTTTTACTGCCGAAGTTTGATCTACCTACTATTTTTACATGTATATTTATTTATTTTCAGAGAGAGAAAAGCAGTTTTCTGGCAGTTTACTTTAAAGGAATATTTAAGGTCTGTTTGCTGTGGCTTTATGGTTTGCAATATGGCCATAAGTCTTAGGAGAAGTGTATCACAGAATAAGGTGTGGCAAAAAAACCTGAGTAATGCAAAGATAAGCCAATTTATTGTGTTGTACAGGTATGGAATTTCTTAAGCTCAAATAGACATTTTGGGGACATGGAAAGAAAGAACTGGATTTTTATAGAGGTGTGAGCGAAAAGGGAGTTTTTATAAAAAAACATGTCCTATTTTCAAGCTTCCAAAGCTCAGAAAAGCATTTTATGTGGTCTCTGTGCTTTAATTTCAGACACTCATGCATATATTTAAGGATTTACCATTGCAGTAGTGGGGTCATTTGCATACTTCAGATTAGTAACTTCTTTTATATTTCTTTTTTTCTGAATCAGTAGCCATAAACAGTAGCTAAGTGGCATTAAATGCTTAGACATACAGAAATCAGTATCTACAAAGTCAGGTGAAAACAGCAACTTTTCTTCTACTAGAAACGTTCATAAAATTCCATGATAATTTTGTTGTCTGAATTTGTAAGATGGATTGGTTCTGACATGGTTGCTGCATAAAAGAGCATTCATGTCTCCCTGTTCTTGTTCCTTTCTTAAATCATATTTTATTTCTCTTTCAGAGAAGACAATTGATCAAGCAGCATGTCAGTAATTGACTCACAGAAAGGAATGAGGACAGTTTATTTTTGCAACCCACTGAACAAGTTATTGATTATGGTTATGAATGTCATTATTTGTAAACTTACTGAACAGTAGAAAAGGCTATGTTCTTCAGTATTTATGGAGTTTTTGAATAGATTAACATCATCTCAGGTGTCAGCTTGTTGATGCTTTTCTGTATGCTACCTTTTAACCTTATCTGATGCAGATATTTGTTACTGCATTTGCATTTATTGTTCCTTTAGCTTGTTCAAATCTTATGTCATGATCAGGATTTTTTTGTTAAGTGAAAATTATCATTGGGAAACCATAACAACAATATTTCTGCACTAACTTGAAATACGATTTAATGTGTGTGCTAACAGCTACGTTTTGACAAAAGCACAATACTATATGATAACCCTTCCTTTTAGCTTTCTTTTCCATTTAATCTTTGTATTAATTTTTATAAGTATGCTAATATACTTAGACATAGGTATAAGTGCAATTAGATGGACTACTAGCTGTTAATCCATTAAAAGCAGTATCAGTTGTGCTGTTGATTTTGGTCTAAACTTGGTTTTACTCCAAACGTTGAAGAAACTCAATGTGTGAACAGTCTTGGATTATTCTGTTTCTGTCATCTACATCCTTTCTCTTTTTTTTAAAAGCGATTTTGAGAAAGGTAAGAGAAGTTCTACTGTATTGGTCTCAGCTAAGTAATTGGTGAAAACTTCTTAGTACGCGTTCATGCACTTTTATTACATTATATCTGTTCTCAGTATGTGCTTTTGCTCCTGTGTCTCGAGCTGTTCAGAAATGTGACTGAACACTGTATTATCTCCTTGTTTTCAACTGCAGCTTCTCTGGTTACAATAACCAGAAATTTTACTGTAATTTTGTCCAGGAATAATTCTTGTGCTGATTGCTCTTGTGACTTAAAGGCAGGTGATTAAAATACAATCACTTTACAGTTATCAAAAGTTCAGTTCAGAGTTTGAAATTGCTGGTGAAAAAAACAAAGCTTTTATTGAAATTTCCTATACCAAACTCTTTTGTTTTTCATAATAGATCAGAAATTTAAATAAGCTGCTTTGGGGTTATGTTGCTATAAAAAAACATGAAGAATTCAAAACATCAAAAGGCAGGGGGAGAGAGATGATGCAGTACAGAAACACTAGAAGAGCCCTACTCTTTTTTAACTTTACTATTGCTGTGGTAAACTTTAAACAGGCTCTAACTATTTGGTTTCTTTTACATCTGAGCTCTGAACTTTAATATAAGAGACGCATTTAGTGTAGAGAAGCAAACATCTAAGGACAGATTGTTTTCATTTTTTCAAATTGGTTCCACTGATCTAATAGGTTTGCATTTGCCATTTCAGCTTGATTGAGAAACTGTTGATGGATCGGGAAGATAAAATGGTCACTAGTTGATCAGTAAGTAAACAGCCACTGTCATGGTGCAAAGTTGCATAGTGGGAACACAGCTCATCTGCATTACAGAATCAGAGCACTGAAAACTGACGGTGATTCTTTAAATCATGGGGCTTACTGCAGTGCAGCTCTTCGTGGTGCACCTAAAAACTGGGGCTGGTCTTTGGGAAAAGGGTAGCTCTGGGAAGGAGGTAAATGTTATCATCCCTTTCTATTTTTCTATGTCAAGTACAATGTTTCTGTCAGTCTGTGGCTACGCTCTTGATCTTCCAGTTCTATGTTCGCATATGTTACATGAATTACTACAGTACAGGTTGTGTATGACTATCAGGGACTTTCTGAATCATCAAAGCAATCATCACTGTCATAGCTATGTCATATTGTCCTTTTCCTAAACAGAGAACTCCATTTTAGAAGTATTAGGTCTTTTGCTCTTGTTGCTCCAGCGGGGGACAGTTACAGAACCTCGCTGTTCTGATATGGAAATTAAAATTTATGCCTTACCTCTGTAAGTATTCACTGCCAGTTGTGCAATGTTCTTTATCAGAACAAATCCTGATTTTATTGATGGTGGGAGAATTTTGCATTTAATCATAATGAGATAAATATTTCATTGAGTTTCAAATGTACTTGAGAGTTCCCCTTTATAGGGCATCTCAGTAGCTCTGCAGTCCTGTGCTTTCTCCTAATTTGTCTGGGATGCTTACATAAATCAGAGCAACATTTGTTTTTATAATCTGAGTAACACATTTTAGACTAATCATTATCTGACATTTGTAGTTTAATACTGTTTGTCCTGAAGGTATGATTTTGGCTTAAAGTACTTAATTTTGGTACTTTATGTAGGCAATGAAAATTAATTGTATCAATAGTTAGGTGCAGCTATTAAAATGTAATAGTAATTCAAATGGCTCAACCAATATTTATGCAGCATTTCTAATTCTTAAAAACATGCATACTTGCAGAAATAAAGTTCTGAAAGAATATTTGCTGTCCAGCTTCAAATAAAGTTTTTGACGATATTTAATGCAAGATG